GGGGATCCATTTCAGGACAATCCCCATTTTCCTAAGCTGCTACCTCTTGTGATTTCTTCCCTGTTACCTGATGATTGTCTCCATGTTTTCTACACCAACAATCATCAATTTTAACATTTTATCTTGCACACCATTCTCCAATCTCAACATCCCTTCTGTTGAGCCTCAAATATGAAGAATGAAATTCTCTGCATATTAATTTTTCATTGTGTATTTTCTACACTGTTTCCTTAGTCCTAGAAGGTCATTAATATCTATTAGTATCAATTTGTTGTTCCAATTCTGTCTCCTCCAGAATATGAACCTGCTTTTTAACACAGCAAGACAACTATTTCTGCTTTGCTTTCTGGTGTGCCTAGCAGATAAATGTGATAGCACAAACTATTTCAAAATAATTTTTTCTAAACTCTTTCTCCCAGTAGATTTAGGTAGTAAGTCAAAGTTTAAACATAACATCATAAAGATTTAACCTAAGTACTGAGGGACTTAGTATCTCTATGAGAATGATTTCAAGTCACTCTTCTTTGAAACTCAACAATCTCCTACATCATCAGTGTGACAATGAGCTCAGCAGTGCAAAGATCTCCTCACACAGGAGCATAACATTTGACAAAGGTTTTCTCACTGCTTGAATCAGATGAGAAAGGAAAACAAAATACATGAAACTAAGATGAAGCATTCAGCCAGCTCATATGTAAAGCTGAAATCTGACTGCGTAAGACATAGTATCAACACAGAGGGATCTGTGCCAAAAAAACATTAACTGTTTCTCAATGAGAGTTTGAATTATTGCAATATCAAAGTACAATACTGGGTTTGGATGTGCCCTTTGTTCCAAAAACTGTCTCGTGTTACCAACCAGAGCATCCTGAAGACTGGCCAAGGGTACAATATATGGGATACAGAGATAAAAATGTAGGAAGACAAATTATAATTTTGCCTCAATTGTGGCAATGCAATTCCAGAAGATGGGCACAGCAAGGGTGCTGAAACAATGGGCTAACTATTTTGAGGCTGTTCTCCACTTTTGTTCAAGAAAAAATAATAACTTTATGAGCTTTTTTAGGTTTTATAGTACTCATAAGGGCATAAAACCAATTATACAAAAATTAAAAGACTGAAGCTAACGATCCCCTGAAGTCCTTAGCTACTGAAGCTGATACTATAGAATTTGTTGCACACTTGAAATCAAGAGCAACCTGAGAAAGGCAGAGAAGTGCTTCAAGCACTCTAACACTTCCAGCCACAAGTATCCATGCAGAACTTGAAGACAACTGCACAAGAACTTTGTCTACCATGAAAAAGAAATTTCAGTTTACTTCTTACACTTGATTGCTTTTCATTTTACCTTGCTGCATTATTCCACAAAAATCAGAAGGTAATGTACATCACATAAAACATATTTCTCCCTATTCCTGTGTGACACAAGTTCTCAGAGCTCTTTGTGCACTGCAGCACACTCCGCAGAGGGGTCAGAGCCTGCACAAACTGCTTGACAGAGAAACACAGAATGCACCAAGGCTGTTCATCACAACTCTGTTTGCTTTTCTTCCCACCACCTTCTTAGCTTCCACAGTCCTGCAGAAATAGACTGCAAGTGTGGTAAAAGAACATTCGATCGTGGAATCTACTACTAGCAGAGGTTAAGCACTGGGACAAGGTACTACTCATTGCTTCCAAAGCCTGAGCTAACGTTTTCTGTTCTGTAATCAATGCTGTTGTGAAAAGAAAAATAAAAGCCTTCAGCAGAAGGGATGAATGCTTGATAAAACTAGAAGTCTTAGAGCATTATTCCCTAGAAGGATGCTGAGAATGACTTTAATTCCAAGAAGATGGCTAGCATGACTAAAAAAAGTTCAATAGCTCTATAAAACTGTAGAGTCCAGACAAACCCTCCCTCCCACTCCTTCCCATTAAAAAAATTCAGACCCTGAAACCACTCCAAAGCCCAGCCTCACTTAGGGTGAACCAGTACCAGCTTTATATGACTCCCACTGACAACTGTCTTCTTAGACAATAAACTTGGAGTGCTTGTGAATTTCCAGCAGAAAGTGTGGTTTGTAGATCAACTGTTATTAGCTAAAGAATCTTTTTTCTTTTTAAACAGGGACAGATATACTAGAAGATGTTAATTTATTACAAAAATTCTTTATCACCCTACCAATTAAACTGCATTTCATTTTATTCCTTTGACCACAGTGTTAAAATAATGTATACAAGTGTTTCCTATCAGGTTATAAATATATTGTTAAAAAATTATAAAAAGCATAAAGACTGAACATTTACATGATCATAATTTGAACACATCAGACCAGTTGCAAGGCAACTGCAATACAACCTGAGTGAATGTGTTTTAACAGCTTTTAATTACATGTCTTTATACTATTCATGGTACATCTCTGTTCCTATTAAGCAGGAAAGCAAAAGTCCTGTGGACTAAAACACAGTTTGGAGAGGGCAAATATTTTCACAAAATTAGCTGAATATACTTATTCTGAATAAAACTTTGTAGAAGACATCTAATTACATATAAATAGCACATGATGAATCTGTGCTACCTTTTAAAACAATATTTCAGTCACATTTCATCTAATTTGAACTTGAACTATACACACAATTATCATACATCTGTGAAGGAATGATTTTCATAATTTTTATGGATCGCAACAAGTGCTCTTAAGAAAATTGAAAAAGAATGGTAGCTTCACATAGCTGCAGTTAGGATAGTTATTAAAGAGAAGGAAGGGAAAAAAAAAAAGGAAGATCTTGAAAAAGTACCTCAAAAGCTTTGCTTAGTATGGTCTAACTCATTCCCAGTTCTGCTCCTTTGAAGTAACAAGGCAAGTAAGAGCCAGTAGAAACTTTTTGGTGTGAGTACTCTGAATTTTCTCTCATTACATTTACATGCACAGAATCTTATCTGGGAGTAAGGGCCAAATCATTCAGATTCACTTGTCAGATGTTGTTACCAGACAATGCAGACACATTTCAAAGAGAAACATCAGCATATCACCCTGAGAAAATGGAGGTAGCTGATAATACTCACATGCCCTTCCTCACTGTAACAAAGTTGTAAACGGACTGCTAAACCCAGCAAATGCTTATGATGAAGTGAGGAAAGCTGCACTACAACCGTAAGAAAAAAAGGGGAAATGAGGGAGAAAAGTACATTAAAACAATATGCTCCGACTCAAGCAGAAGTTTCTGGCTAAATTTAGAGCTCATGCTCAAAGACAAAGACATACCACTTGTGTATCTTTGGGTTTTCGTGTTTTTCTTGGGGTGATTTTGTTTATGGATTTTGTTTCTCATTCATATTCTTTGGCAGCTTCAGAAAATATCAGTTTCAGAGGACAGGTCCAACACTGCCTACCAAGAGTATGTTTGATGGAGGTGAAATTATAGGCTGAATATCATGACAAAAGTAATAAAACCTACCCGCTATTTCCATCCATGTATTTCAAAACTTTTTACAGAGCGAACTTAAGATTACCATTGGCATTTTATAGATGGAAGGGTGAGATGTAATAAAGAGGACAAAGGAAGCAAGAATGGATCTGGCCAGGGAAAGGCCTGTTCAAAGAGCTGACAAGACCAGAACATTCTAAGACAAATATAAGAGGGGAAACACGGGTCATTCACTTCAAACCAAGACCTTGTACTTCTATCTGTTACGCCAACTACAACAATACATAATCCACCTCAAAGGGATTGTAAAGGACTAAGAAAGCTCATACTATAATAATCAGAACACTGATGTAAATTTGTTAGATGGTCTCTGCTCACAACAGATACGTGGTGAACATGTTTTTAAAACTGCATTTTAAACAAGAAAATAAACAGTGAACTATAAAGTTTTGTCACACACCATTTGTCCCTGCTGATTTCAAGACAGGAAAAATATTTTTTTGATACAGTTGCCACTGCTATTGCCATTACTACCCATAATAAAAATAATCATTTGCCTATATCTAACAGATTTAAAACAATGTGGTTTTGAGATGAGTTTTTAAGTACCTGCCTTGTTCTGAAAGAAATACAAAGTTTGTTTCTTGAAGGATGTATATTTTAAAAGTATCTCTTGCTTGTAGGGTGAAAATATACAATATAAAAAGCATAAAACCCTGCCCACAATCAAATATTCAAGTTCCATCTCTCTTTTCCCCCAAAGTAAAAAAAAAATAAGCAAAAAATCTGCTGGAACAACAAAAAAAGGACAAAATTTCAAAGTTTCAAAAGCGAGGTAGTTTGTTGTTTTGTTTTTCTATCCAAACACAAAAGCTTTGAAAGAAACTTCAGAGCAACAAAGACTTCTGGAGATACAGTATTCTGCTAGGCCATTCCACACACAGGTTTACTGGGAACAGAAAGCTTCTCACAGCCCCAGATGCACATAACATTTAGAACAGAGGAAGAACAAACCAGCCAATTTCAATTGCTAAAAAGCACGAAGGATATGGAAATGTCATCCAGCTGCACAGGGGTCCAGATTTAGAATATACTTTTACATGTTTAAACTGGTAATTTTCCATGAAGATATTTTGATTTTTAGTTAAGCTAAATTGGGAAAAAATAATTGAGGGACATAGCACAGCTGACATGCCTGAGTACCAATTTTGTTTTCTCTATGCAACAGAACATACAGACAGTATAGTCTGTATTATCTATCACTTATTTTAGCTAAACCCATCACGTGTGATTTCCAAAGGACCTATTTTCATGCAACTTACTTCACCCCCTAGAACTCCAAATCCTGCATTTATATAGCCTATAGGTCAATACACGGGTCAACCTACTACAGCCACCTACAGACAGTGGCACCTATACATGGAGCAAAACTTACTCTTCCGACAATCTCATTCTAATTTTTACTTGTTTTCCCAATGTGACTTTCATGGTACTTTAAATGATACTCTGTTCTTGAAAAGCATACTCAGAATTACAGCTAAAATAGTAAAAACATATTTTAAGGTAAGAAAACAAATCCAGTAAATGCCTACCTGAACCCACTGGAGATGAACCAACACTAAGACTTTGTAAACTTCCATTCCTGAGCAAAGTTGGAGATTTTTGAAGACCAGAGCTTGTCACACTTCCTGCAGCAGATGCCACAGATGAAGTTGGGGAAGCAGAAGAAACTGAAAGATGGGAAAGACTTTCTTGACTTTTATTTCCTTTGGGTCTCCCAGGCCCATGTTTACTTTGCTTATTTCCTTTACGTTTCTTCTCTGTTACAGTTTCTTCTTCTATTCCAGAAGTTTGAGCTCGTTTGTATGCTGTAGAAGTAAGGCTTGCATTACCTATGTCTCCAGGTGAGCTGTCAAAGTTTTTAGATTGGGAAACAGCCGCTGATGAAGGGAGACCAATTAGGGAAGTGAAACAGTTGACACTCCCCTCTTGACTCCCAGCCTCTCCTTTATGTACATCTTTGGTTGAGGAAGCCTGTTGAGAATGTGTGAAACTGTCACTTCGAAGATCTGTGTCTGTAAAACTCAAAAAGTCCTGGGGAGACTGAACTGAACTTCCAGAAGATGACTTTATGCTCCCAGGAGTGCCCAAAAAGCTTCCTGAAAAAAAGAAAGAAGAAAAGTCCAGGTTTTTTTCCTCTGAAGTTGATGAACATTGATGGGAAAAAATTACTATCTTAGAATACAAAACTCCAATGTGGAAGAACTTTATGAAAAGCATTACCAAAAGCTACAGAATTTATTTTTTAAATAACTCATTGGTTCTCCTGCTGATCTGCACTCTGCTGGACCTGACTCTCAGATTCCTGTCTGAGATTCAGATTTGAA